GTAAATTTTATGTCAACAAGTTGCCGGGCTTTTAGCTTTGCAGAACAGCTGCGTGCTAAAACTCTGACCTTTCAGTTAGCAGCAAAGTTCTTAAATATTGTGGTGAAGGACTTCTTATTCTTTAAGTATATGAAAATGAAAGGTAATCAAAGAATGAATGCCAGAAATTCTAAGGGAAGAAATATCTTCAAATAAAGGATCTTGTTCAATTAAAAAAAGTCAGAAGAGAAATTAGTCAACACTGATGGAGCCAGATGAGATAAGATACTGACATATACAGTTGTATGGTTCATTTGCAGCAATAGCAGGTATTCAAAGTGTCTGAGATGTGCTTGATATGCAAATTGGATGATGGTAAGCCCCTCAAGACAAAATGGAGACAATTCTATTAGGTTTGTAAATCATAGTAGTAATGTCTGATTATGTTTTATAAACACTGTCTAATCAGTTATAATGAAAGAAAACATGATAAACTATACACTGAGAAAACTTTCTGGAGTGTCAATAGGAATAGCAAATTAGGGACCAGATATTAGCAAGCAGATGAGTTAAGAGTCAATATTAAAAGTCAGTACTAACGATAAAAGATATCTCCTTGATTTCTGCATAATTACCATGATTTGAAATATAACCTTCACAAAGCAATGCAGTTTAGGGATTAAAGAAATGCTTTGATATTAAAAGAGCTGATTTTCCTGTCACACAGTATGAAATTGGCATGTTCCTTAACTATTGGTACTTTACTGGCAAAAATAACTTTAGTACTTTTCTCATTGTTTTGATGAACTGGTGAAACATTTCATACAATATCTATTTGTAATTTAATAAATACAAGTTGTTGATTTGATTTTGACGATGCTAATGATGTATAAGTGTAGAGGTTGTTGATTTTGTTGACTTCAATGGAATCAATCCATCGAATTGAACATAGCCTTGCTGCAAATAATCCTATAACTAAATAATAGAGAAATAAGGTGAAATGGAAAGTTTCAAAAATTGTGAATTCACACAAAGTGTTGACAAAATTTTTACCAGCTAAAAAGGTTTTGAATCAGGAAAAACTCATAAGTGAATAAGGAGGAATATGGGAAATTACTGGTTGACATATGGTTGTAATTTTCAGCAGGACTGAATTTGCATGAGCTTCAACAAGGAAGATGTTTTTATGCTTAATACCTTATCTTTACATATTTATTTAGTATGGAAAATCTGTTAAGAAATTTATAAATCATAAATATAAATATGATAAGTGGAATACCTGGTACTAAATAAAATAATCTATAGGTCACGTATATAAAAGTAAAAGAGTTCTGGTGGTGCTTTTGGGTAAGTGTTGGACTGCTAACTTCAAGGTCAGTGGTTTGAAATCACTAGTGCTCCTCTGGAGAAAGATAAGGTTTTCTTCTCCTATGAAGATTCAGTGTCTAATTCTGGACCCAAACTAAGAAAAATTCATTCTCATGACTGACATGGCCCTGCTCGATGTTCATCCTCATGAAGAGATCACTGAAGACGTGAACACAAAGTGTAGTGAAGAAACCAAATGGTGCCTGCCTATCAGAAAGAATAGTGTCTGGAGTCTTAAAAATCGTCTTAAAACAAGCAGTTATCTAAGTAAAGTGTTGATTAAGTACACATAGGAAAAAACACAATGGTCTGGGTGATCCAAGAATTGTAAATAATAATATCCAAATCAGAAGACGGGACTGGTATCAGAGTTTAAATTGGGAACACCTGGGTTGCACAGAGCTATGGGTGACAGTGGAAGATTACAATCCCTCTGAAAGGTCCTCACATGAATTAACCCTTTGGTGAATCCCCTCTGACTATAGTCCAGGGATGTGATTAGCATTGCTATTAGACGAGAACATTGAAAAGTCGATTATAGCAGATCTAGTTAGATGAAAATGTAATGCTTTATCATTTGATCTCACTTTTGACTCATTCTCAAGTTATTACAGATTCTAATGTTTTCTACTTTATTTCATTGAGGTTTTTCTCTATTTTGTCTGGTCACTGGTGTTGGATTTTTGGTTTGTTTGCTTCCTGTCTATATTTTGTGTGATTTTCTGTCTATTCAGTCCAGGAGAGGTAGATTTATAGAGAGAGTAACTGGATTGATAATTGCCTGGGAGCATGGCAGGGAAGGATGGGAACAATGGGGAGCTAATCATGAGTACATGAAGAAATTGTTCTGAAATTAATTGTGGTGATGATTGTGTAAATCTTCTTAATATTTTAATCATTAAATTGTATGATACATTATGTATATACAATAAAACTATTTTTAAAAAGTAAATGTGAAATTAAAGTTAATTTATGAGTGTATGTATTTTAAATGTCTTGACATTTTTTGTGTGTGTGACACTTGTTTTTTCCAGTTACACTTATAGATGAAAGCTAATGTTAAATCAGTAAAGAATGGACTGGATCAGAAGTCAACAAAACTATATTCTCTGAGCCAAGTCTATCCCACTGCCTTTTTTTATTAATTGTTTTATTTGGTCATGGCCATACTCATTCAACAAAGTCTGAAATATTTACTATTTGGGTCTTAATGGATACAGTTTGCTAGCCCCTGTACTATATTCACTATGTTGAATCAAGAAGACTCTTCGGATGGAATAAATGTGAGTAGGGTTGGAAGAGCAAAGAGCCTGTTTAATGTGAGGAAAATGTATTATTTTAAATTGTTATATAATGTGAACAAAAAGGATTGAATCAAGTACATGGAAATTTTGTTTCTCCTGTCTGTTTTTATATGTATTTAAATGTCTGAACATGAGCAGTGACTGAGAAGATAGGTCAAATGGCGTTAATCACCCTGTTTCGTGTACTACTCAGAATTGGCTTACAGTGTTCTGTTTGGTTGTGTTTTCCATTTTAAGCAAATGATTATTTACATTTTTATTTTTTCACTAAAGCAAAAGACTGAAGTAAAAAAGAAAAGGTTGATGTGTCAGAAAGTCACAGGGGCAGTTCTACCCTGTCCATTCTGAGGGTAAATCATAAAGTGTCTTAGAAGCCTTTATTAAACCAGAAACTCAAACTTTGAAGTTATCATTTCTCAACATATCCTCCATTTAGGTCTATGCACTTCTGAAGGTGGTGTTTCCATCTCTCTAAATCTTCCCAGAAGAATTCTATACTTTTCAGTTCACATCACGCCAGAATGGTGGTTTGGGCATTGTCAAGACACTCATTTTATTTCTTCTACATAGTTTTTGAATTTGGGGAACAAAAAGAAGTCTGAAAGGGGAAATATCATTACTATACATGGTTGGGGTCAGGAAAAGCAATGAAATTCTCACAGGATTGACCTTACTAGCTGTAATTAATAAACCAGTGCATTTTAGTGGTAAGGGGAACAATTCTTCAGTACAACTTTCCAGAACTTCTCACCAATGTAGCTCTTAATTCTTTTAAAACTGCTTCATAATAAGCTCCTGTGGAAAAAATGATATTAAAATTTTTTAAAGCTCCTGTGAACATCCTGTGTCCTTCAAGAAATCTACTAGCATTATCCTTTTGCAGTCCCCCAAACCAGTTACCATATTTCTCTGTTGAACATATTGTCTTTAATTTAACTGGTCCAGAGCATCTCCTTGGTAGACATTTCTTTGAGTGGACATTTTTTTGAAGGCTGTCAAGTATATTTCTGAGAGAATTTTTCTGCAGTCATCCACTAATTTACAAAAAATACTTAAACATTTTTTACATGGAACAAATCCTCAAGTGAAAATGGGAACCCTAGTATCAATACTTTTTGCCTCACCCTTGTATTTTATATAAAAATGATAACAAATTTTTCAAAAAAAGAGAAGATGCATATCACATATACACAAAATTTTCTAAAATTAAATTACAGTGAATTATTTTGGGAAATCATTTGTTTATTGTTTTACATTTGCATATACATATAAGGATGTGTATATACATATATATGTATGTATGTATGCATATACGTATATACACACATACCCTGGCATGCCAATCACAGTGAGAATCTTTCTGTCTTGGCTAGTATCCTGCTGAATGTTTTGAGAATAAAACGTCTAGAGGAATTTCCCCTTGAGGGATCTTGCCCCACTCCACTTAGCTGAGCTCATATAGCAGAGGGAGCATCTATGCCTATAAGCCATTTGGAATGAGACAGCAATAAAGGTGATGAGATGCATCTTCTCAGCATCTTTTGGGTGGGAATCTGGGTTCAGCTATATGCCCAATGTATACTAATGCACTGCCTCGGGTACATTGACTGTCCACATCTCTTTTCAGTTCCGTTTTCATCACTTTGGTAGCCTGAAATTAGTCATGGTGGGCATATTTAAACCGCAGAAACTGACAACTTTTACATATCAGGGTATTTCTATTTAGAGAACCAATTGTTAAACATTTAGTAACATTACTCTGGTTATACCTAACCGAAAGCTATGGCCTGAAAATGGGAAGAATATTTCCTCCTTAGTCATCATCTCCATCCCTATCACTGTCTTCTCACTTTAGCACCCAAATCTCTGCTCTGGATGAGTGAAATGATAATGTCAATGATCTTATTCTCAGAAAAAGTTCTCTAACCCCATTTCCCACCTTCACCATCACTTTGACTTTGTGAGATCCTTATGGATTTGGTTGTTTGTTTTTTTTTTAAATCTTTTTATTAGGGGCTCATACAACTCATCACAATCCGTACATACATCATTTGTACATATATTGACTTCATTCTCACAACACCTACTTTCCACTTGAGCCCTTGGTGTTGGCTCCTCATTTTCCCCACTCCCTCCCCGCTCCCCTCTCCCCTTGATAATTATAAATTGATAATAGAAACTAACAGAGATTTTTGTCCCTCATTTCCTAACATGCTTCCCAGTATCTTCTGATGAAGTACCATGGGACCTTTTAACGGTTCTGTGGAGTTTTCACCTGCAACATTCACTCTTGTGGGTATCCCAGGCCTGGAGGCAGAGCATATCTGGATCGCTGTCCCCTTCTGACTAATGTACGGTATCATCTTCCTGGGAAATGGCATTATTCTTCACATCATCCGAACTGACTCTGCTTTGCAACAACCCATGTACATCTTTCTAGCCATGCTGGCTTTTGTTGAGTTAGGTGTCTCCATCTCCACTTTGCCCACAGTGCTAGGCATCTTCCTTCTGGGCATGACTAAGGTTAGTTTTGATGGGTGTCTGCTCCAGATGTTTTCCATGCACTCTTTCACCCTCATGGAGTCAGGGGTTCTTCTGGCCATGTCCATTGATCGCTTTGTGGCCATTTACAGCCCACTCCGCTACACAACCATCTTGACAATCCCCCGCATCACTGGGATGGGTGCCGCTATTGCCCTGAGAAGTGTGATGCTCATGTTCCCACTGCCCATTCTCTTGAAGCGTCTGCCGTTCTGTGGCCACAACGTCCTCACGCACTCGTACTGCCTCCACTCAGACTTAATTAAACTGCCTTGTGGAGACACTCGCCTTAATAGCATCCTGGGTCTATTTGTTATTACCTTCATCTCTGGGCCAGACTCACTACTCATTATGGTTTCATATGCGCTAATTCTTCACACGGTACTGAGAATAGCTTCTGGCACAGGGAGGTGGAGGGCACTCAACACATGTGTGTCACACATTTGTGCTGTTCTAGTGTACTATGTGCCCATGATCAGCCTCTCCCTGCTACACCGCTTTGGACGACACTTACCCTACTCCTGAAGGCTGTTATGGCTAATGCCTATATTTTTTCCCACCTGTATTTAATCCCATTGTCTATAGCATCAAAACCAAAGAAATTTGCAGTGACATTGTTCACGTACTGTCCAGAAAGAGGAGCTATCCTAAGAAAACAGTAACTTGGATCAGACCTTAATTTCTGGATTTTTGTTTCATAGATAAGGTGTGCGTGTGTGTTTGTGGGGTAAACTATACCTTGATGCCATTGTTAGTAAGGAGTTTTGGTGGTGTATGGTTAGGCATTGGGCTGTGGTCCAGGTGGTTGGCAGTTTGAAACTACCAGCAGCTCTGCAGGAGAAAGATTGGGTTTTCAACTTCTAACACTTACAGTCTCAGGAAACCCCACGGAGTCACTAAGAGTCAGCACTGGCGCCATGGACGTGAGTTTGGTTTGGAAAAGCTTCAACAGATGGAAAAACAACAGAGCACCAGCTCCTCCTCCTCTCACCCATTAGAATGGAGAATGCCATTACTGAGACGTGAATCCAGAAGAACATATACAATTTGTCTCAAGTCTTTTAATATTTAGCTCTCATATTTCCTTCTGTGAAATGCAAATTAATCTCTGGGGTGGTTTTTCCCCCCAACAACATATGATTTAGTAAGTGAAAAGAATGCGGACAAAAATGAATAGATATCATATTATTTCATTTATATGAAATTATAAAGTAAATATGAACTAATCTGAGGTAAAAATAGAACAGTGGTTATTTTTCTAGGGACAGAGGTAGAATAATGGGAAGAAAAATGAGCAACTTTAGGGAAGGGAGAAAAAGTTCCATTTTATGTTAGGTGTATAAATTACATGATTATATTGATTTGTCGAGTTGATTCATCTATAATCTCTTCATCTCAATGTATGTGAATATTACATAAGTGTTCTAAATGATAACAATAATGAGTGGGAATGGGTTCTGTGTAAAACAACAGATTGTAGAAAACTGGCATGTCAAGAGTTGTTGAAGCTAGATGATCGGCACGGGACCCTCATTATACTCCTGTCTACTTTGTATATATTAACCATTATGTATAATAAGAATCGAAAGAAAATTACACAAATTGTATTGAAGTCAGTCTTGGTAGAATATGTACCAGGAACAGAATTTATAATTTGGTCAGAAAAATGTTCTGACCTTGACAAGAAACCAAGAAACCCTTATGCAGTTGGCTGAACCACAAAGATGGTGGTTCAAACTCACCAGCCACTCCATGAGAAGCTGAGGTGATCCGCTCCCGTAAAGATTTAGTCAGAACCAACCTGATTACAATGAGTTTGAACTTAGAGGTATTAGGAAACGTAATAGCTCAGTGATTAGAAAAAAAAGGTAGTCTGAAAAATAGCGTGTGTCATCAAGTGGATTCTCACTCATACTGACCCTAAATGATGTGAAAAAACACCAGTGTCCTAATTAGATAATGAGGTTTATTCAAGATTATATACGTGGTTTTAATGTGCCACCATTCTCTAATTACTAATAATGTTTAGTCTTTCACCCGGTGCTATGTCTCATTGTGTGTCCTTTTTTAATTTAAGTGAAATAGCTCTTCAAATCTTTGACATACTTTCAAAAAATATTATAATTTATCCAGCGTTGCTAATATATTTGTACTAGGGGACTTTTAAAAGTTTATGGAAAATGATATTAAGCAGCAATGAAATTTTTCTAAAAGCATTTGAACTCAATATATCTGGATGTAAACAATTTACATATTAATTCCACACACATTTTCTCCAGGTCTATGACTTTAATTATATTTCTTTAATAATATGTTGGAAAAAATAGATGTGTTGATTTTGATGAAATTCAATTTATCAATTTATGTATTTTGTTTATTTCTTAGAAATCTTCACATAATGAAAGGTCATAAAGAGTTCTAACATTTAGCAATTAAAAATATGAGTTCTCACAGTAGTGTTTTAATCCATTAAAATAAAATTTTGTGTGTAATGCCAAGATTATTATTTTTAAAATATAAATACTAGCCATTTTTCCAACTTATAAAAATAGCTCTTCTTTTTCCATTAAATTGCCTTGACAAATTTTTAAGAATAGTTTTTATATTACATATGGGCAATTATTTCTTGAGTATTTAATTCCATATAATTTGTTAATGAATATAAATATACCACTTTCTTCATAATTGTAACTTAAAAATAGTCTTAGAACAAGATAGTGTGTCATCCTAGTTTTTTCTTCATTTTCAAAATTGTGTTGGTTCTTCTATGCCATTTGTATTTTCAGATACATTTTATAAGCATATATGACAATTTTAAAAAAACTGAATTTTATATTGATTTTGTTGAATATATAACTATTTCAAGGGAATAGAGTACCATGAAATATTAAAAATTTCAAAATATAACCTAACATTTTTCTCAATTTATTTTGTTATTATTCTTTGAAATCTCTATACAGTTCTATATTGGTTTTAGTACTCCTCTGCTGTCTATATTATCTTATAGTTATCAGAGAAAATTTAGTAACAAACATCTTATTTTGATTTTTTTATTAAATCATTTTGTTGGGGGCTCCTACAACTCCTATCTCAATCCACACATACATCCATTGTGTCAAGAACTCCTGTACATTTGTTTCCCTCATCTTTCTCAAAACATTTGCTTTCCACTTGAGCCCTTGGTATCCACTCCTCTTTTTCCCCTCCCTCCCCACTCCCCCCTTGCCCATGAACCCTTGATAATTTATAAATTATCATTATTTTGTCATATTTTACATCATCCGATGTCCACCTTCACCCACTTCTCCACTGTCCATCCTCAAAGGAGGAGGTTATATGTAGAGCCTTGTAATTTGTTCCCCTCTTCTCCCTCACCTTCATAAAATCAGAACATAGCCTCCATGAGCCTATGTACGTCTTCCTAGCCATGCTCGGAACCACGGATATTGGACATGCTACTAGCGTTATACCCAAGATGCTTGCAGTGTTCTGGTTTCATATGCTAGAAATCTATTTTGACTCTTGCTTGCTTCAAATGTGGTTTATACACACCTTTCAGGGCATTGAGTCAGGCATCCTGCTTGCTATGGCTTTTGATCGTTACATCGCCATCTGTTACCCTCTGAGGCATGCCACCATCTTAACCTTCCAGCTAGTCATCCAAATAGGTACTGCAGTAACTCTCAGAGCTGCTGCCCTTGTAACCCCCTGCCTAATACTGATAAACAGCCGGCTTAAATTTTATCACACAACGGTCATCTCACACTCCTACTGTGAGCATATGGCGATTGTGAAACTTGCTGCAGAAAATATTTGGATCAACAAAATCTATGGTTTGTTTGTGGCCTTTACAGTTGCAGGATTTGACATCATATTCACCTCCTTTTCCTACATCCAGATATTGACCACCGTTTTACGTTTGCCCCAGAAGGAGGCTAGGTTTAAAGCATTTGATACTTGTATCACTCACGTTTGTGTCTTCCTCCAGTTCTATCTCCTAGCCTTCTTTTCCTTCTTTACACATAGGTTTGGTTCTCATATCCCCCCTTATATTCACATTCTCTTTTCTAGCGTTTACTTGCTGGTCCCTCCATTTCTTAATCCACTTGTTTATGGTTTAAAGACAAGACAGATACGCAGTCAGGTAGTGAAAATGTTCAAAGTTTAATATCTAAGATAATTAGTATGTTCACAACTTCCTTAAGCAATAATAAACATCTGTCAATACAATCATAAAAAGCCTCTACGTTATCTGAGATGATTGGGTTTTCTATTTAATTAGTTCTTGAAATGTGTCAGCATTTAATCTGATTTCCAAATCAACATAACTAATGACTCTTCCTCAAACATATTGTGGGTCCTACCTGAGTGATGTAAGTAAGGAATGCAGAAAGAGGTAGCAACATAATATATACAAACATGTTTTCAGTCTTCTCCTTCGTTTTTAGTTCCTGGTTAAGTTTCCTCCTTCAAGAATTCTTCCTCAAAAAGATTCATGAATTTCCCTCAATGTAAGAACACTTTGTTCTATTAACCTTGCATTCTGTGATGCTCACCTACCTGACACGATTGCTGAAGACAAAAATGGGTGCATGATGTTGTCAGTTTATTGTGCCAACCTGAACTTGGCTGATAAACACATGTGGGAATAAATGAAGGGCAGAGAGATAAATGGCTCTGCGAGCCTCGCCTTTCTTGTCGCTTGCTCTTTGATCATCAGACCAGTGTGCGGCTGCCTTGATTGTTCTTTGCATCAATTTGCAAACTACACTACCTGTGGGACACCTAACCCGTGGACTGTGTTGCTGTAATTTGAGGTTCCTTCAAGACCTTTGGAATTTACCACACCTTTGGAATTTACATCTTTTGAGCTGGGGGCTGTCAGGACCTGTCATCTGGCTAACTGTTGATGACCTGCCTTGCTGTTTGCTGCCTGTGCTCAGATAGCCTGAATTGCGCTACTGAGGACTACCCAGTGGCCCTCAAAACTTGAAGAACTGCCACTGTCTCACGACTGTCTAACAGGAGTGAGTTGCTCTGAGCCATTTGTACTACTTTATAATTTAATTAACTGTTAATTTCTTATGTTATATATCAATCTATCGGTATAAATATATATAAAGTTTTAGCATTCTGATTTTGTTTCTCTAGAGAACCCTGTCCAGCACAATGAATATGCAAATGTGATGAAGAAAGCTGATGGTACCTGGCTATCAAAAGGTCTTACAGGCTCAAAGATAAACAAGTGGCCATCTAGCTGAGAAGCTACAAAGTCCACATGGAAGATGCACACCAGCCTGCATGATCATAAGGTGTCTTTGGGATCAGGTATCAGGCATCAAAGTCCCAGAACACACAATCATATCAATGTGAATGAGTGGGAGGACGGGATGAAGACCAAAAACCCATCTGTAGTAATTGAATAAACCCCCACCCCCACCCCAGTAGGGTCACAAGGAAGAGACCAGCCAATCAGTGTGCAGTACAGCACCAACAAAACAAACAACTTCCCTCTAGTTTTTTTA